GGCGGTGAGTGCTGCTGCTGCTGCTGCTGCTGCTCCGACAGAGGCTGAGCGTGCGAGGCTGGAGAGGTTGGTAATGCGGGGTGGTGGGGGTGGGGATGAGGCACGCTGGCGGATGGCGTTTACGCGGGCGGGCGGGGAGTGTGAGAGGAAGTTGGGGCAGGTGCTGAATATCTTTGTGGTACGTGCAGGAGCATTCTGGAGGGGCTGGTGAGGGAGGCGGAGAGGGAGAGGGGTTGTCACAGCGGTGAGTGCCTGGCTTGGTGAGCGGTGTTTTTGACGGGATGGAACGCTCGGTATGTAAGTAGGGGGCGGTGGTTTGACAGACTGGGCAGGGTAGACTCGTTTAACGAATCACATCTCACTTCAGCAATCATCATTCGGTGAGGCATGCCCAGCTCCTAAGCTCCGACGTGGATTTTAGGCTTAACATCCGTCCGGTCAAGGAAGCAATGGGCAGGGAGACCGGAATAGCCGACCTGTGGTGAGCTTGGGTGGTAACTAGCCTATCCCATTGACATCAGGGGTGTGCAGCAGCAGCAACGGGCCTGAGAACAGCGTTTGGGGTTTATCTTGTCAGAAAGGGTCAAGTTATCCCTTTGAACGAACAATTCATACACTCCTAGGACATACAAGCATAGTCGGTGATGTGGAGGGCTGGAAAAGTCCGCAGCGACATCCAGCCCGCCCAATGGCACGGTTACCTATCCCGGCAACAACGCAGCCCAGGCCTTTGCCACATGCACGACACCATGCAACAACGCCGCGGGCGCTTGTCCGTTTGCATATAGACGCCGTGTCTTTGTTAAATCCAGCAATTGAGTTTTTCGGAAGACCTCCAAGCTCCAAACAAAGGACAATGGTGAGCTGGGACGGTGAGGGCGGCGTAGCTCGGCTGGAATGTGCTGCTCAGCTCAAAGCCAACAGCTGGGGTCTTTGTCCCTCAATCCGGATATGTTCACCGCAGAGCTTCACTGAGACAGTTTACTCGGACCTTCTCTTTTTTGCTCAACTTCTTGCGCGCCCAGAACCAACCACAGCGTTCATGTCCAGTTCAGGGGTCAGCAACACCAGACCGAGAACCACAGCAAGCAAGCCCGCCATTGACCACCCAACCAAACCACCGCCAAAATGAGCTTCTGGAACCTCACCAACACTCCTTCCCACGGCCAAAAAGCGCCCCGGGGACTCTTTAACTCCAATCCCAACCCCCAAACGCCGCCGCGTCAGCATCCACACCAAACCCACCACCAAGCCCCCCACACTTACCACCAACCCCCCCAGCCAACCCCAACCCCCCTCCTCAAACCCTCCACGCCCGCCTTAACCCGCTGCGACCGGGCATCAACGCCTCAACAGCAACTTAACGGCATAAGCACAGGATAGAGCGGCTCTTGA